AAAAAAAAAAAAAAAAAAAAATAAATTTCGTGTTGTGTGTTGGAAACGATCCATTCAAAAGTCTCGTTAAAATTTTGTGTTACATTTTTAACTCGAGTATTAATTTAACACAATGTAATTATGTCATTTAAATATGTAATTTTATGATATGATCTGATATTCAATGTTTCTTTGTGTCAAAACAACAATGAATAAGTGAATAAATAACACAAAAGTAATGTTTTATAAACGTAAATTTGAAATTGAATGAATAAAGTAACGTGTTAATTTAACATATCATAAATGTTAATTTTATTTAAACAAAAAAACCCGCTTCCATAAATTGTTTGCAAATTATGTTAATGTTATATTTTTTGTATTACATTTTTTACTTAACGTTTGTGTTAACTTTCTAATATATTCGTCTTATGTTAATTACGAAAATTTGAATGGAAATTTGAGAATGTGAAGTGTGTTAAATTTGACTAAAACAAAACTTTTCTGTGCACGTGATGAGTCGTTTTAGATTAATTCTAATTATACGTACAGCAACATTCTTTAAGCGATTCTTACGTATACTTAAATATTTTTAGAAAATATTTGTAAGGTTGAGTGTTTAAAAAAACGAAAGGGCCGTTATTTCAGTCAGGTATCCCTAGCTAAAGAAAATAGACGGTGCAAGAATGATTCATTGAAAAGTATGAAATGAAATTAATTATTCTATCAATGATCGCTTTCGTAAGGAGACAATTTCGATTCATAAATAAACAGAAAACGTGACGCTGCGCAGCGTGACGTTTTTTCTGATAAATTCTCAGACGCATTTCCCGAGCGATGTAAAATTCGATTACATCATCACTGGCGCCGCTACATACCCATGTACGAGAGTTAGATAATTGACTTGTTTACTGAACTATGCTCTATATCGATCTTTCCGTCTCATATCCATGTCAATTATTTCATTTTGAGTACGCGCAATTGCAAGTAATTCAATAATTTAACCGATTTTCGCCGATGGAGTGTGGAAATCAGCCTCCTTCAGTTTTTTCCCTCAACAA